AGTGGCCGCTCCCGGCCACCGCAGCCTCGACCTGCTGGGCTCGGTGATCCTTCTGCCTCAGCTACCCAAGTAGCCGGAATTACAGGCGCGCGCTACCATGCCCGGCTAATTTTTGATTTATTATAGAGATGAGCTCTTGCTGCCCAGACCGGTCTCGAACCCGCGGACTCAGGCAATCCACTCACCTCAGCCTCCCAAAGGCGCGGGATTATAGGCTGAGCTACCGAGCCCAGCTGATTCTTCTTATTATCGGAACACCTTCCTGATTCACACCCCTAAAATATTTACTTTCTCATGCATAAAAGGGCAGTGCTTAGATAATAAGTGTTACATATGAATATACAGTTTCATGATGACATGGACTAGAATTATGTCCTTGTTTTCATGTCTAATGCTGTTAAAACTATCTTAAGTTAGTCTTACATGGTGAGAGTCACAGGCAGTGGTACTTGGATTTCCTTCCTTTGTTGACACAACTTGAGAGCTCTCATTGTTTCCAGAAGCACTTTGTTGAGGCTGGAGGAAGATGGAGAGAAAAAGGTCATTGAAAACACCAAGAACAAAATAGGTTCAAAAAATACATCCAAATTGTATTAGTAGCACATGATATAATAGAAACATTGTGCTAAGAAAAAAAGATAAAACTTTGTATACGTCAGAGATCTTAAAAATTGCAAATTTTAAATTATCAACTTTGAGCTTAAATAATTTCTATCCAATTTTGCATTGGTGATGTATATTTGGAATCATTTCCCTTTTGAAAATATTTATTTATTCCATAATAAGATTTTATTTTAAGGATCCTAGTCCCTCAAAAAGTAGGAATTGTAAGCCAAATGTAAAATTTTAAAACCCCAACTGACTGAACAGTTCTCCTCTCAACCAAGGGAAACTTGCTGTCGTGTGATGCTATACCTGAGACAGGTGGAAAAAGAGACAGGATGTGTTTTATTATACTTCCTTCTTTGTACAGTTTTAGGAATATCTGATTAGCATTAACATTAAAATAGAGATCACAGGACTGACAAAACGGACTCTGTGGCTATAAGATATCTAATTCCCACTTGTCTCAGGTATAGCATCACATAATAGCAAACCTTGTAAAACATGAAAATATTTTACCCCAAATTATGTTCTTTGACATATTTTGAAGTGACCCTGTAAAGCCATTTTGAGGAAATTGTAGAGAATCTCCTTCCCCAGGAAGAGTCTGACACCTTTTAAGGTATTTGATACTTACTCTCTCTAAAACTTACCACATAGAGGCTTCACTTACATAGCAAGAACCTTGGCTTCCACAATTTCCTTTATCTTAACTTAAGCATTGCTTTTTTTTGTTTTGTTTTGTTTTAACAGATTGTAAATTGTTCAGACATGGCTTAACTTTTCAACCAAGTACCAATGAGAAAATCTTTGAATCCACATATTACTTGTAGACTCTCCTACTTTGTGATGCTCCATCTTTCTGAGACCAACTAATGTAAAACTCACATATATTGATTTTTCTTTGGTTTTGCCTGTAATTTCTGTCCTCCTAAATTGTAGTTTAATCACCTTGAGGGCATGTCCTTGAAACATCTTGGGACTGTGCCTTGGGTCTTTGTTACTTGTATGGGTTCAGAATAAACATTTTTAAATATTTTAAAGAATTTGACTTTTTCATCAATAGAATCCTGTCACATGTCTTTATTTTAACCCCCAGTATAAATGAGAAATAATAAGTGCACACCTTATTTTCTCTCTTTTTTTTTTTTTTTTGTTTTTGAGTTGCAGAGTCTCACTTCGTCACCCAGACTGGAGTGCAGTGGCTGCTCCCGGCCACCGCAGCCTCAACCTGCTGGGCTCCGGCGATCCTTCCGCCTCAGCTTTCTGAGTAGCCGGAATTACAGGCATGCGCTACCACGCCCGGCTGATTTTTTTTTTATTTATTGTAGAGATGAGGTCTTGCTGCCCAGGCGAGTCTCAAACCCACGGGCTCAGGTAATCCACTCACCTCAGCCTCCCAAGGGCGCAGGATTACAGGCTGAGCCACCGAGCCCGGCTCCTTATTTTCTCAAGAAGAGACTTGTAATACTTCATAATTTACATGGAGACAATATTCACACCAGTGTTTCACTATCTAATCAAACTCTGTTTTATACTTCTTGAAAGTCTTAGTATTATTCTAGAATTCATCACTTTAAGAACACTAAATGAAAAAAAGAGAAAAAAACTAAATAGAAGAAAAGAAAGGGAAAGAAAACAAAGTATTTCCCTGGTTCTGAACAGGGAAGGACATGCCATAACTAAAGTATGTAAATATCACAGTAGGCAGGTCTAAGATTATTCACTCAAATGTGTATGTGTGGCCAGGCACAGTGGCTCAGCCTATAATCCTAGCACTTTGGGAGACCAAGGTGAGAGGATTGACTGAGGCTGGGGGTTTGAGACCAGCCTGGGCAACTCGGTGAGACCTCATTTCTACAATAAATGACAAAAACTACCCGGTCATGGTGGCGTGCATCTGTAGTTCCAGCTACTTGAAAGGCTGAGGCGGAAGTTTGCCCTGAACTCCAGCCTGGATGATAAGAGTGAGAATCAAACTCATAAAAATTAAAATAAAATGTGTATGTGTTTCTTGGCCAGAGCTGATTTGTACATTATTGATATGCTTATCAATCCATGAGGGTACTGTTGTAGGATAGGTAAACATAAAGTAGTGAGCACTAATTTGCCTGAATCTAAAACTTAGATCACACTGGGTCACAAGGGAGGAAAAAATGAAATTTTATCAATTAAAACCAGGAAGACCTATGTGGTCTGGTCAGAGTACTCAGATCACACCCAGGGTTTATATCTGTACTACTTTCTACATAACACTTTCCTGGTTTTCCACAGGCCATTACAATTCTAAGCAGGGGAGCATTGTTAGAAAAATGATATCTAAAAAACTGTAACAAAAAAACTATAAAACTAAAACAAAGAATAATTAAGAAAACTGAGAAAACATTAAATGTAAAAAAAGAATAGTAATAAAACTAGTAAATGCTACCTATAAATAGAAAGTTTCACGGTGGCATGATCTAGAATTATGTCCTCTTTTCATATCTAATGGCATTAAAACCAGTTTAAGTTAGTCTTATATCTTGAGAGTCACAGATAGTTGTTCCTTTAAGTTTATTAAAATGGCTCCTACATAAATTCACTCAAATATTCTATCATAACATTAGACAAACAAAGAAAATGTTCCTTTTTATCTAACCTTAAATTTAACTTTATTGATGAAATCCAGAAGGCATTTTGTGTTTTCTCCTTCTATTACTTCCTCTTTCTCTTTTCAGGACTCCTACCTCTGGTTTTCCTCTGTATCTTCTCCAATAATTAAAAAAGATAATTAAACATAAAAACAAAATTTTTTCCTTTATAATTCAATTAAATTTCTTCAATAAACTATTGAGCTAGCTTTTAAATCAAGTCAATGAGCAAGCCAGTGTTCTGAGTTACATGTCCTTGATAGATACAAAGATGAGAAAGATGCTGTTTTTGTCTTCATAGAGCTCACATAATCGAACTTATTTTCATAATAACTCTAATACAAAGTACATTAAGGACAAGAAGGCATAAGCAGAATTGTATACATTTTGAAAGAATGAAGGCCAATTTCATTGGAAACAATAAGAAAAGTCATGGTGGAAAGGGTTGACTTTAAGTGGGCCTCTGAATGCATAAGGCAAGAATGAAAGAAGACCTTCTAGGTGAGGAAAAACATTTAAACAGAGACACAGAGGTACAAGAGTCAGTTGCTGATATGATGGTTTATAAGATAAAAGTAGCATAATCATGAAAATAACACTGCAAGCCGGGATCGGTGGCTCAGCCTGTAATCCTGCGCCTTGGGAGGCTGAAGTGAGTAGATTGCCTGAGCCCGAGGGTTTGAGACCCGCCTGGGCAACTTGGTGAGACCTCATCTCTAAAATAAATCAAAAAAATTAGCCAGGCGTGGTAGTGCACGCCTGTAGCTCCAGCTACTTGGAAGGCTGAGGCAGAAGGATCACCGGAGCCCAGCAGGTCGAGGCTGCGGTGGCCGGGAGCGGCCACTGCACTCCAGTCTGGGCGACAGAGTGAGACTCCAACTCAAAAAAAAGAAAATAACACTTTAAAATAGAAAAGGGAATTCCAAAATTGAGCTGCAAAGTTTGTCTTTCATTTAGTTGTCCAAGAGCAGTCTCTTGCATAATTTATAACAGAAGTGTGATATGGCTAGAGCCACTGTCAGCATGTTATGGCAACAGTATATAGGCGAAATGAAAAAGAAGGTGGTTAGAGGGCAAACACTAACATACAAGGAATTAAAATGCCCAGAGATATGGTAACAAAGGCTGAACTGAAGTGCCAATCCCAGTGATAAAAATAAATAGTACAGTAATAACATCTTGAGAGCAGAGACTAACATCTATACCATTTGAAAAATTCTACAGAAAAGAGAAATCTAAAGAAAAGGCAGATTTGTAGCAAGAAGGGCAAATTCATATTGTTAAGAGAGTGTTTTAAAGCACCTGGGAGTCCTAAGTAGATAAATATTATTGAATAGCAGTGTTAAAAACAATATCATTCTTTTAAAAAGTCAAACAGCTATTTATTCTAGCTGAAATTTACTGAAAACCCACCACCTGTCTTCCCATAACCCCAACTTATAGATACTTTGAGGAAATAGGTTTAAAAGAACAGGGGGAATATATATATATATATATATATATATATATATATATACACACACTAATACTGAAGAAAAGTCTCCCCTGGCAGTCACAGCAAGAATCACAGCTGCAAAAACATGAAGAATGGATTAAATCACACTAACAGGCAGGGAGAAATTTTAGTGTATTTTGTTCCTGTTGAACAAGCAGATGACTGAATGAATAGTACTGGCACTTTCTTGTACATTTATTTAATATATAGCAGCATTAAAGGAAATTGAAGAATAAAGCACATCCATTATTCTAGCAATATCTATTTTTATTTATCAATGTCTTCTCCCAGTCTTTGTTAGTATCTACATGCATGAATATCTCATGCAGTCACAGTGATAATGTCCATAATATTTTTATTTTTTTACACACAAAGCGTAAAGTGATGCTATAAGTGCTTGTATATATACTTCAGAGGTCTAGAAATATAGAGTGAGTTTGGAAGACACTATATTATGGTTGACGATTTTGAGTTCTAAATTGGTGGTTATATGGACGATACTCTGATGAACATCAACATTCTTGTTACCAGACTGCATAACCCACATCATCCTAGTCATTGATTTAAACACCTGACTCTCCTTAGAGTCTGGGAGCTCCTGAAAGGAAATCATCACGCCATATTAATCATTGCATCCTTGGGAGATAGTACATAGTTTGTACTTACAAGTTTTTGTTTACTTCTTTTCCTTTTCATCATTTATTCATGATGTATTGCAATACAAGTCAATACACACTTATTATGCATACTATCTATAAAGGCATTGTGTTTAGAACAAAGGATTAGAA